GGCTACATGGGAGTCCAGCGACATAGCCATTACGCTAACTGCTGGTCCCTAAACTGATCATTTTTGAGAACACTACTGTATCCATCACTTTTTCCTCTTAAAGGTTTCCCTTCCATAGCCTTTTCTTCTATCCTTTGCATTTTAATTTTCTTTTCACTTTCTCACTCTCTTTCCGCTGTCCTACGGCGATCTCTGCCTGCCAGCTGTATTCCCACATATTTCAGTGTTGCTAGCGGCATTCTGAATCGGGGAGGTTCTGATCCTTGGCTGAAGGAGTACAGAAAAATGCTTCCCAAGGTTTTATAAATTTGAAGCAAGTCTTAGCAAAAAAAAAACAGTTTAATATTATCACCCAGATGAAGTATAATACATCTAAACAAGAGAACATGGGCAGAAATACCTTGAAAGCTACAAAATCATATGGATGAAAGCCAATACAGGCCTCGTGGATTTGGGACATCATCCGGGCTGTCTTCTCCCAGAATCCGAGCAGTGTTCTCTGCAGAAAAAGGAAAGTTGGCAGTACAGTTCTGCTCTTCTCCACGGTTTCCTCAGTGTTACATTTCCTCACTAGTATATTTGATCAACAGTTGCCAATTAATAATAAACAGGAACTAAGTTAAAATTTGCAAGATTGAGCCATCTGAAATTTCTGTAAATCATAATTCTTTTTTTTTATTTTTTAAATTTTAAAATGAAGGAGAAGGGATTGCGGCCTGGCCATCTCCCCTGGGGGAGTGATTTCATTTTTTTTTCTGGAGAGGATTTTGCTATAGGGTGCGTGCACTCACCAGAAAGACAGAGAGAGACAGAGAGACAGAAAGTGAGAAATCACCCCCCAGGGGGGATGGCCATGCCACAATCCCTTCTCCTCCATTCTCCTCTCGGGATTTTGGGCATGCACGCACATGCACCCAGCATGGGTCCGGGACTTGAACCATGGTCGACTACATGGGAGTCCAGTGACACAGCCATTATGCTAACTGCTGGTCCCTGTAAAAAGTAATTCTGGGGCCGGCAGGTGTCGTGGTGGTTAGGGGTGCTGGACTCCCACATGGTCGAATGCGGTTCAAGTCCTGGACCTGGTGGCTTAAACTCATGCTGGG